CTCTCTCTCTCTCTCTCTCTCTCTCTCTCTCTCTCTCTCTCTCTCTCCCTCCCTCCCCCCCCTCTCCTGGCAGACATCAGAACCAATGCCAGCATTCTTTCACTAAACCTGGAATGGACCTCAGGATCCATTCTGATATCCAAGAAGTATAATCAAGGAGTCAAAAAAGAGAGAATACAAATTTCTTTGCCTCCTATTCATTTGACACAAGAGGATTCTGGCTGAAACTTGAGAATAAAAACTCACATTTAACCAATTGCAGAGTAAGTGAGTTTGCTACACAGAAGTAAAAAACTAGACCCAGGACAGTGCAGCCAAGATCAGAGAGGGTAGGGGAACTTTGATCTAGGGTATGGTAGAACAAAAAGAATCAAGCTGATGGCAGAGGGAAGGAGCGGGACTGAAGGTAGACATGTAATGCAAACATTCTGGAACCACAGAGGACAGACCATGAATTACCATTTTAGAGGGAAGAGTCCAGGAACTGTAGACCCAGGTGACAGAGAGACTTACTTAGGCTACACAGGCTGAGCAGACCCAACCTTGTATTTTTGTTTCCTAGCAGGAAGTAAATGACCTTCCCCTGTGTGGGGCACTGAGCCTACTCAAGTTAACCCTATCCTGGGAGAACATAGCACAATTTATTGATGAAAACTATAAAAATCTTACCTGGAAAGTTACCAGAAGAATAAATTTTAATAGTATATCTTCCTCTAATCTAAGAGATATTGTGCTGGCTAGTTTTATGGCAACTTGATATAAGCTAGTATCTGTGAGGAAGAACTCTTAATCAAGAAAATGCCTCCATATGATTGGCCTGAGACAAATCTGTGGGGCATTTTCGTAACTGATGATTGATGTGGGAGGGCACAGCTCACTGTGGGCAGTGACATCCCTGGACTGGCTAGTGGTCCTGGGTGCCATAAGAAAGCAGGCTGAGAAAACCATAGGGCGCAAACCAGTAGGCAGCACTCCTCCATACCTCACTTCAGTGCCCACCTCAAGTTCCTTCCTGACTTCCCTCAGGAATGTGGCCTGAGAGTTATAAAATGAAATAAACCCTTTCATCCCCAAGCTGCTTTGGGTCAGGTGTCTTATCACAGCAATAAAAACATTAAGGCAAATACCAGACTGAAAACAAGATTATGCTTATGGAAACCTGAACCACTGTCATGGGATCTTTTACTTACCTCTTTTTGACGATCTACAAACCGAATCCTCCTGTAGTCTTTTTCATCATAAACCTGAAAAAAAATAGTATTATCTTTACAGTTGAATTCTGAATGACGTCACATAATATTGATCGCAAATATTACAGAATAAAACCATGTTCCCCTTGGTCTACTCCCACTGATGAGGAGACAACCCAAAAAGCAAATTGTACTTGTACTGAAGGAGTCCCACGGGCATGATAGACTGCAATGCAGACTGGAGACAAGCCCGTGCCCTTACAAACAGCCAACTCCAACAGACGACATTTCAGCAGATCAGCAGCGGACACAGCCCCTTTCTTTCTTTTCTTTCTTTCCTTCCTTTTTCCTTCCTTTCTTTCTTTCTTTTTTGTTTCACTATTAGATTGAACGCTAGGGTTGCTTTATATACTATTATTAAAACTTGGAACTTAATATAAACATATGACCTAAAGACTGGGTGGATACCAACTCCCAACCGGAAGCCACTAGCTAGAAATCAGAGCTGGACAGTGGGCTGCTCCCCAAGGTGAGCGCAGTAGGGCTGCGCGCTAGCCTGGTAGAAGCACACCTTGCTAAGCTCCCTGCCAACGTCAGTCTCTGATTCCAGGCGTGGCAGGCGCGGCCGTTACCTGGCCGGTGTGCGTGATCTTCTCCCCGCTCGGCGACACTTGCACCCCGAACCCCCGTGCAGCCCTGGGGAGAGCTAGCAGCCGGCGGAAGGTCAGCGCCGCCGCCATCTTGCTGGTGACCCTTGACCCAGCGCGTGGTACACGCGCCGACGCAGGCGCACAGCGGTCGGCGGGGCGGCACTTGTGGAACTTATTTCGTTCTACGGTGGAGCGGATTCGCTGGGCGGCCAGGCAGTTGCAGCTCCTGGCTAGGACTCCGGGCTGCGGGTTAACTGTGCGCAGAGTTCAAAGCTTAGTAGCGCGACCAAGGCAGGGAAGGTGGAAACTGAACATGCGCTCTATACGCTTTTCTGGCAATGGAGAAAATGCCAAATTTCGATTGCTTTATTTTTTCTTTTTAGTAAAGTCAAATTGTTCAGCAGAAGAAACAGAACGTGCAGTGAACTTCACGTGTGTTGGGACGGGAAAGGGAAACTTCTGAGCATTTCTTCAGCACAGCGCTAGTCAAGTTTCCAGTTTGACTGCAAGTGAGTTTACCCATCATGGAAAAGCAGCCTCGAAAAGCTCTGCTTTGTACAAAGACCTGATACAGATCTCAGTATGTAACTCTGGAAGGCATGTTGGCCTTGCCTGTGTCTCTTGAATCTGAGTCAGAACCTTCCTCAGAACAGTATACACTGTCAGACCTTAGAGTGGACAACTTTGCCCAGATGTGGCCAGGATGGAGGTGTGAGCCCAGGCGTAAAACAGGGCAGATCACTAATTACCAGAAAGCGCCAGAAGCTAGCATGTGTTGTTTGGGGGCCCTTGGACAGGATTGGAGGCTGATGACCTGCCACTTGCCTTTCTGTCCTTCAGCCATAACATAAGGAATAGGCGAGTGAAGACAAAGGATGACCAGTAAGGTGGCAGGATACACGGATGCACACACAAAAGCCTCACAAGGTTGGAATTGCCCCTAACAATTACACCAACAAATGTGGGCCTAAGTTGCCCAGGCTAGCTTTAAGCTCTGTAACCCAGGCTAACCTACTGCTCACCATCTTCCTGCCTCAGCCTTTGGAGTGCTGGGATTTCAGGCTTATGTCACCATGCCCTGTTCTGCAGCTTTGTCTCTTTCTCCCTCTTTTTAAAGGCCATATTTATTTTTATTTTATGTGTATGAATATATGCATCGAAGCATGGCCACGTGTGTGGGTATCTAGTACCAGGAAAAGGATACAGGATCTCCCAGCAGTGAAGTTACAATTGGAGCAGCTGTGTGGGTTCTGGGAACAGAATAATGGTCCTTTGCAAGAGCAGCAGGTGCTCTTAACCACTAAGCCATCTCTCTAGCCCTGATTTGTCTCTTTTTAAAATCAGTCTCCCTCTCTTCCCTTGTTCCCTTCTCTCTCTCTCTCTTTCTCTTTCTTCTATCTCTCAGTTCTGGAGATTGAATTTAGGTCCTCAGGCTTGTGGGGCAAGCACTTTTGACTCCCAAGCCATTTCTCTAACCCAGAGTATTTTTAAAGTGATAGAACTCTGGTATTAGTATTTTATAAATGATGTCACACACACACACACAACAGATATTATATGAAAGAAATTTATTGGGTAGAGGTGGCATGATAGAAAAAGGAAGAGAGAGAGAAACATGGTGGAAGCCCTCCAGGAAAGAAAGTGAAATGGAACCAGCAAGAGAGGAAAGTGAGGAAGGTAAGAGAGACAAAGTGGCAGGTTGGTCCTTTTAGAGCTTGTACATGCACAGCTGAACTATACCTGTCACACACCTGGTGGTGACACATGATGACATAATAGGTTACTAGGCAACCCAGAAGCATGCTGCCTATATGCTAACATCTAGGGCCAAGGTATTCCCATGGCTAGATGCTAAGATGTACTAAGTGATCTTCGTGTGAAGTGTGAGACTGGGAGCCAGAGAGGACTTAGGGTAGCCATGCTGGTGATCCTACTTTGCTATACATAAATTAAGATGGATGGATTCACAAACTACCTGAAATCTGAGACATATTTAACATGAGTTAACTGTAAAAGCCATAGATGGTATGAGTTCACTCTCAAACTCTTTCCACACGTCTTGGAGCTTTTCATGGTTTGTGGGGAAGATCTGAGCTGCCTAGCTAGAGCAGTGTCTGCACTTGTTCTTTTGGCCTTTCCCATGTATGCCAGAATGTCATTTAATGGAAACATATGACCTGTACATTTTGTCTCCATGTTGGGTTTTGTTTTGTTTCCAGCATATTCACTGTTGACAGTTTCTTTACAGTTTAGGCCTGCATTTTTGTCTGCTTTTGGGGGTGGGGAAGGCGGGGCTGAGACAGGGTTTCTCTGAATAGCCTTGGCTGTCCTGGACTTGCTTTGTAGACACCAGGCTGGCCTCAAACTCAGATCCTCCTGCATCTGCCTCCCTGGCATTCTTCATCAAATGCAGCAAATTGGGTAGTAAGGCGCCTGTGGGAGAACAATCCCAACTTTCACTCAAGGAAAAACTTATTTACAAATAAATATCTTTTGAATACCAATAAAAATATTTGTCATCGCTGTTGTAAAAGTCTGGAGCAGTAGTGAGTGCTTTCTAAAGGACGTTGGGCCGTTTTCAGCTCAAAGAAAACAACCAAATTCACTGGTTTCTAAGTGCTGGGATTACAGGCCTGCGCCTCCGCGCCGGTTTGTTTGGTTTGGTTGTTTATTTTGTCTTTGCGGAGCTAGCACATAGGACTCTTGATAAGAAAGAGGAGAGACAAGGAGGGGTGTGTCTCCCGGAAGCATGCTCCTTGGTCTTCCGCTCCAGGGCGCTTGTATTCCCACGTGACCCTACGCCATCTTTCTTCTTGGCCGGGGCGTCCCGCCCCAGTGCGCAGACGCGGAAGCTTCCGGTGACCAGCACCCGAGGTGGAGTGGGGAGGATTTCGTCTCCCGTGGTACCCCTTCCCTGGCGTAGGTCTCGGGTTCCGTGCGCGGCCGGGAGTGCGGGCGGGGTCCCTGGCCGGGCTGTGCCTCCGGAATCTGAGGCTTCCCGGGAGCGCGCAGGCCGGGCCACGTGGGGACGCGGAGCCGGGAGTGCAAGGTGACTGCTGTGCTCTGACCTCTGACGCCAAGTAGCCTTGCAAAGGGAGCGCCTGGGGGTAGTCAGACTGCAGCAGCCCTGACCACGCTTCTCTCCCCCCAGGTCTGGCCTCAGCATGGCCGCCCTGCTTGTACGGAGCGTGGTGGCTTCTGTCGTGGACCCGCTCCTGCGCCTGAGTCGCCTCTCTATGAAGCCCCGGGCCTTCTCCTCGTTCCTGCTGGGGACCCTACCGAGCGCCAAACCCTGCGCGGAGGCGCGCGCACTTCTCTGGGGCCGCCCCCTGCCGCACCTGCAGCCGTCGCAGGGCTTCAAAACCAAGGATGTCCTCAAGAGGCGTTGTAGGGACTGTTACATGGTGAAGAGGCGTGGGCGGTGGTTCGTCCTCTGTAAGACCAACCCCAAGCATAAACAGCGGCAAAGGTAGCTTTCAAGCAGTGTCCATGGGGAATTCGTTTCACCTTATCAAAGAAAAATAAATTCAGCATTCTGTAAGATCTGTGGGCCTTAGGGCTTTGTTGAGCCCCCTTACCCCACACCGTAGCCCAGTTCCTTCAAATCTAGTCAGACCAGAGGTGCAGATAAGGAAGGATTGTTACTGTTCTGGCTCTGTAACCCTGACTGACCTGAAACTTGGCAGAGAACCCTGCCTCTGCCTCCCTGGCATTCTTCATCAAATGCAGCAGAATCCAGTGCTTTAAGAGGCTGACTGGGCCGGAAAGCTCATATGGGGAGCACAACAGTCCCAACCTTTACTCAAGGAAAAACTCTTTGACTATAAATATCTTCTGAAACCAATTAAAATGTTTGTCAAGACTGTTCTAAAACTGTGGAGTAGTTCTGAGGGCTTTCAGAGGGAGGTTGGTCCATTTTCATCTCAAAGTAACAAAGCACACTGACTTCTGGAGGAAGCTTTAGACTGCTAGACTCCAGCAGTCTTTCAAAGTTTGCATTTGTCAGTATTCAAAAGTGGGCCTGGGGTGTGTGCTCCTCGGGGAGGTGTTTGGTTGGCGCTGTTTATTTTTTCGGTTCTAAATCTCATTAGTCCAGGTTCACCTGGTGTAGTGTACCAAATGATTCCAGGCTGCAGCAGTTTCTGTGGCCCTGTGACTAAGGCAGAGTGCTGTGAACCTGCTGTCCCTCAGAGGGGACGACATCTGTAGCTGCTGGTACCCTAGATCGTTTCCCTGGAGTGGTGTGAATTCAGAGATGTTTCAGTGGGTGGTTATGGGACATGGCCACTGCCTTTTCCTGGGGTCTTACGGTAGCTGTTGGAAAGGGTAGACAACTTTAGAGAGGTTAGGTGTAGGCTGGGACCCCACACCCCATAGGGCTTTGAGTAGAGGGGTCCTGACAGTAATGTTTTTTTTGAGGGAAATTATGTGCTGTGGTCAATCATGTGTTGATCTGTGTGTTCACATGTGCAAGCATACATGTGAACGTGAAGCCTGGAAGAATGTGTGGGGACACAGGAAGAACAGCTGACTGTCAGGAGTAAAACCAGCAACTTAGTAGAAGGACCTGGTCCAAACAATAGTATGAAGCAAGGTGTCAGGTTCATTGTCAGCACAAAGTCACATGCTGATGGTTTACAGGCCTGAACTTTGCAGAAAGCCTCTGATAGGTCCAGACAGCAGGAGGTGAAGAGCATGACCCACTTGGCCAGCAGAGGGGCATGGGCCAGGGCAGGGTTACTGGACAGGCCTGGCTGTAAGCACCCTTCTCATTGTGGTCACTTCTCAGAGGCCACTTCTGCTTCTTGGACTTGGGAGGCAGTCATGGGTACTGTGATAGCTAAGATGTCCACCATATTCAGCTGTGTTGGCTCCTCGGTTCTATAAGATGGACATTATAGTTGCAAAACTAATGTCAGAGTCAGAAGAATGTGGCATGCAACAGATACTTGGTGTATGCCTGTCACTGTATTAGTAATACAGGACATTTGTCATCCTTTTATTTCCAGAATCCTCCAATTGAAGTCATTTTCAGTAGAAATAAGTAAATATTTGAATAGCCTAACTCATTAACCCTGACCTCTGGCTACAGGCAGGGCCAGGGTAGGGAAAGGATTTCTGTTTGTATGAAGACACTCATTGGCATTTGGAAGAAATAGGAAATACCTGTTCACCTCTTGGGCACTTCTCATGGTACACAGCTTTGAGTTGTTGGGGAGGGCTCTGTTAGGGCAGATTGTCTGATCTTCAGGGCGCTAGTTGTAGTCCTGCCTTCTGGAGATGGCCCCATACCAATGACAGTGACCCTCCTGTGCTGTTCGCAACATAGAAGATTCAAGCGGCCCCACCAACCTCCAGGGTGAGTGAGGGGGTTAAGGGCAAACAACTTCGTAACACCTGGCTTCGGGACTTCAGCATCAGGTCTGCCACCTCAGCTCTGGCAGCCTTCTGCTTGATGTGTCCTGCCCTGGTGGCTAGGATCAAAGTTGCTGACCTGAAATCAGCAGGTATACAGGCCGTGGCCACGCAGAGCCTTTGCATTGGGAATGCAGACAGGAACGTGCTACAGAGCTTGGATAATTTTCACTTTTGTCATGATAAAAAAATTTAAGTCTTAAAATACTGTACTTTTTCTAAATTTAAAAATTTAAAGCCTTAATTTACTGAGCTGGTTTTCCCAGAAAAGCATTTAAGTCTTCGAGTAAAATTTGTAGAAACATTAGTTACATTTGTTCCTTTCCTTGGGATAGCTTCATGGTATTCTGACTAGACCTTGAGGGCTATAAGGGCCAAATGAAGACCTACAAACCAAGAGACTGTCTCTGGTCCTCTGTCTGCAGTGTGTGCTGGACCCTGGCCAGAGCAGTCCTGCCTTTGGCCTCTTCAGACAGGTACGTTTTCACTAGCTGATGCCTCCTGTGCCCTCCTGTCAGATGTGATATTCCATGAGCACAGCCCCCAACTGGCCCCTCAGCACGTTTGCCTCTCAGAGGGACACGCGTGGCCCACCCCCCAAAAAACTAGGAATGAAACCTAATACAGACTCTAAATTTATAACATTATGGGGTAACTTTTTTGTGACTTAGTGTCACTGTTTCAAGTGTGTACTTCTCAGTGTTAAACAATACAGATCTATGTGTATTCTTATAGCCTGTGGCTGTGGGGTGTATATTCCTTATTTAGTCAGAGGGCAGGAACCGAGGAACCTCTTTACAGAGTCAGAGATGAGGCAAAGAAGGCTGTGTGAAGCTATGGCTGTGGAATGGAAGACGCTGAATGAGCACCACTGTGATGGCTGTTGAACCATCGCCCATCATGGCAAATACTATTTTAAGGACTTCCTCTGGGTGATGAGAATATCGTATTAGCTAAAAACAAAATGACTGGTCTGAAAATTCTGGGCTGCAGGACCCCAAGAAGAAGAGACAGTGTCATCTATATGAAAAACATGTCCAGGTGAGGAGAGGCTACGGCAGGACAGGACAAGTATCCGGGTATCAAGGCATTTACTGTTATGCATGCCACCAAGCTGATCGGCTTCCAGAAATGATAAGGAAAGAGAAGAGGAAGGCAGGGAGGGAATGAGACTCAGGCTGGACTGGTGTCAAGAGCATCTAGAGCTCAGCGCTCCTCTGTGCACCAGCCAGGCCCCTGTGCAAGCTGTGGGCTGTGCTGCCACTCTTCCCAAGGCTACTTCAGGCGTACCCCTGCCACACATACCTCAAACCACATGCCATATACTATACTGGGATATCAAGGCTGCTTCCTCATGGCATTCTGCTAAGTGTGACCCGAAGCCCAGCTGCTTCCACCCACCTAGGTATTGAAATCAAGACTCTGACATACAAGACAGATGGATTCTGGCCTAAGATAGAAACCCTGTGTTTGGAATACAAAATAAGCTGCATGGAGTCAGGCGGAGGAGAACATGTGCATGCAGATCCCCGACAACATGGCTCCACCATCCTGCGGCTGTCCCCTTCTTAGACAGGCTCCAGAACGGCTTGTGTTTTCCCCTTTAGAGGGTTTCCAACTACTGTGGGTTTTTTGTGTGACTGTGAGACTTAACCCAGACTTCCCAATCTTTACTCTTTTTTTTTTTTTTTAATAAACCAGCATAAAGTAGAATTTATTTACATAATGCAATGATCCGTGAAGGTTACCATAACACCAAGGGACCATATTAGCCGCTTGAATGGAATTCATTAGAAATTAACTACCACTTAAATTAATTTTCCCACAGTCACAAGGCTGTAATGGCAAAAGAAGGAGCCGTCCATCAGCAGGTGCTGACAGGAGAGCTGTCAGCACCATTATTTATAGGTGAGTGTGTCAGCCATGAAGCAGGCACCAAACACAAGCCTCTAGACTCAGAAAGGCCACTTCAGTGGGCCCCCAAATCTACCAATCCTCACCCTCCCTCACTAGCAGCAGGGGATAGGCAGCAACTAGTCATATGGACATAGCCCAGAGGGACAAGTCTTTGGCCAGAAACTAAGGTATGAAGCTTACAAGCAGTACTGGTGACTGCTCTTTGGGCTTTTAAAAGGCCCCTGAGGACCAGAGTCCAGAGCCCACTGTCAGGTCAGTGACCCACAGTGACTTCTCAGGCTTCCCTGGGAAAAGACCCCGAAGGAAGAGTGTGCAGGGAATGACCAGGTCTTGTCTAGAAGAGCACAACACACATGTGTGCATAGGTTCATTAGACCATGATGGTGTGGTAGAGTCTGTTGCGCAGAAACAAAAGGCATTCGCGTCTGGTGGTTTGTGTGGTGTACATGCAAGAGGACGTGCACACGTGTGCTTATCATGTAATGGGGAAGTTCAAACAGTATACATACACACTGTATTTGTGTTGCATTAATGTGAATGGACATTGTCGGTGTGTTCTCACCTGTGGATTGTACAGGTGTGTTTCCTCAGGTATGGTGGCTGTTTACATGTATATATGCTTGCAGAGTATGTATGTGTTGTGTGTGTGCACATGCAAGTGTATTGCAAATACTACAACCAGAACACAGAAGAGGCCTTGCCTTCTCATCAATATCTAGACCACAATTTATTTTTGAAAAGTAGGCATGATAGAAAGCAGTTCCTTAGAGCAACATTGTTGCTCATGAGATCTTAGGCTCAGCAGTCCCAGGACAGAGCAGAGTCCCCTACGTGCTGAACCTATGTCAGGCAGGGGGCCTTTCTAAACACTTTGCTGAGAAGCTAAGGATGTTTATCTTTGAGAGAAAATTGACTGGTGGGTAAGGAAGAGTACCCAGGAGTATGTGGCTTGAGGGCACGTGAAAGAAGACAGCAGCATGGAGAACCCCCGCCCCCCAGAGCCTGTGTGCGCCCACTCAGCATCTTAGTCCTGAGCATATTCGTGCTGACATGCACCCCTGGCTGCATCTCGTCAACAGAGAAGCCACAGCAGTTCACACGGGCCCAGCCTCTGTCTGAGAGCGCTCCACTTTCCATGGCCCTGGTGGAGATGGTACTGTGATCCTGTCATCCGGCCAGAGTCAGGAGAGAGATGAGCCGTCTATTAGTAGCGCAGCAGGTAGGCAGATGCAGTGATATGCCCCATGTTTCTCAGGACTGACTTAAGGGGTGGGTTCTACTCAGGAGTCTGTGGACATTGGAGGACAGCCCATCCCCAGGGAGAGAACCCCCTGGCCCCTGGGGTTTCTTGTGAGACACTGGGCTCACACCAGAACCATTTTTCGGGAAGGCATGTCTGAGACGATAACATCACAGAGGGATGTTCGAAGGCCAGAATGGCACATGTTTTAGTCCAACTACCGTGGTATGTTAGTTCTTTTTCTCATTGCCGTAACAAATGCCTGATAAAAGCAACTTCAAGAATAGGCTTACCTTGAGCT